CCGGGCTGGGGTGTCCCCCACTCGTGGAGGGGTGTCCCCCTCCCGCCTGCTCCCGGAACCCCCCGGGCTCCCCGGGACCGCCCGCTCCGCCAATGAAAACGGCGCTGCCGGGGGCCCGTGGGGAGCCCGCCGGGGCTGGGCACCCACGGGGGTGTCCCCGAGGGCGGCCCCGGGGCAGAGACCCACGCGGGCTCTGGCGAAAGGCAACGGCAGCGCTGCCGAGGGGACCCTGCGGGCTGGGCGCCCCTGCCCACGGTGGACACCCACACCCACCCGTGTCTGTGCGCGGGCCCGGCCGCCCTGATCGCTCTAAAAACAACCAACCCACCCCAAAGCAGCCACCCACGGGAAGGAAGGGAGCCGTGACCGGTCCCACCGTGCCCACGGGCGGCTGCCCCGTACCCGTGTGTCCGTGTGTCCGTGTGCACTCACAGCGGGGTCGGTCACAGTTCCACCGCACTCGTGGACATTTCCTCCGTGTCCCCGCACAGTCCCCCCGTAGTTTTACACGTTTCCCCGTGCCCTCACACGGTCCCCTCGTGTTTTCGCGCGGCTCTCCTGCCCCGTGCCCAGTCCCTCCGTGTCACCGCACGTCCCCCCACGCCCGTGCCCCGTGTTTTTGCGCGGCTCCCTCGTGTCTGTGCGCGTTTGCCCGCGTCTGTCCACAGTCCCCCGTGTTTTTGGAAGGCCGTCCCCTGTCCCCGCACAGTCCCCCCGTGTTTTCGCACGGCTCCCCCGTGTTGGGCTTAGTTCGACCGTTCCACCTCCCCGTGTCCCCACACGGTGCCCGTCGTCCCCGCACAGTCCCCCCGTGTTTTTCCTCGGCTCTTCCGTGTCCTTTCACAGCCCCCGTGTCCCTTAACAGGACCCCGTGTTCCCACACAGTCCCCCCGTGTTTCCACACAGTCCTCTCGTGTTTCCACACAGTCCCCCCGTGTTCCCTCACAGTCCCCCCGTGTTTTCCCTCGGCTCCTCCGTGCCCCCGCGCTGTCTCCCCGTGTCCATACACAGTCCCCTCGTGTCTCTGCACGGTTCCCCCGTGTCCCCACACAGTCCCCCCTTGTTTCCACACAGTCCCTCCGTGTTCCCACACAGTCCCCCCGCGTCCGTACGCAGCCCCCCGTGTATCCACACAGTCCCCCCGTGTTTTCGCACAGTTCCCCCTGTCCCCGTACAATCCCTCCGCGTTTTCGTACAGTTCCCCCGTATCTCCTCGTAGCCCCCCGTGTCACCGCACAGCCCCCCCGTGTTCCCACGCAGTCCTCCCGTGTTCCCACACAGTTCCCCCGTGTTCCTACACAGTCCCCCCGTGTTCCCACGCAGTCCCCCCGTGCCCGCCGAGGCCCCGCACCGTCACCGGGCTCGCCGCGCTCTCCCGGCTCGGGCCCGGCCGCGGCCTCGCTGCTCCGACTCCGAGGACCCTCGGCGGGGCCCCCACCCGGGAGCACCGGGCCGGGCCGGGGGTCTCCCGGGGCAGCCGTTCCTTGGCGGGGAAGGGAAGGAGCAGGAGGAGAAGAAGGGTCCCCCCCCGGTGCCCCCCGGTGCCCCCCGGTCCCCCCCGGTGCCCCCCGAGCCGCACTTGGTGTGAGCCCAGCGGGCCGGGACTCACCGGGGGCGGCCGGTTCAGGGTCTGGGGAAGCCCCGGCTCCGCTCCCGGCGGGCACCGCACCCCCCGTAGCCGGGCCCGGGGCCGGGCCGAGCCCACCGAGCCGAGCCGAGCCGGGCGGGCACCCGCCGGCCTGGCCTTACCTCCATCTCCGGCGGGATCGGGAGCACCGGGGTGCGGGCCCGGGGCGCTCCGGGCGGCGGATCAGGCTGCAAACCAGGAAAATAAAGGAATTATGTGTTTTTCTCGCTCCATGACCGCCCCCGGAGCGGCGGGAAGGGGGGGATGGAGCGGGGCGGCGGCTCGAGAGGGATCCGGGGCTCGGCAGGGCCGACAGCGGGGACGGAGCGCTGGGAACGGGGATGCTTCGGGAGAGCACGGCCGCTCCCACCCCGGGCCGGGCTTCCCTGGGCTGGGTCTGCTCGGCACGGCCCCGGCAGCGAGAAAAAACAGGGATACCGATAATAATAATAATACCAATAAATAGTACTAATAGCACTAATACCAATAGCACTAATACCAATCGTAATAATACCAATCGTAATAATACCAGCAGTAACACTACAAATAATAGTAACACTACTAGTGACATTGATACCACTAATATTAATACTAATTACGACAACAACAGCGGTAATACCAGCACCAAAACAAACCCAACAACAACAATAACGATACAATAAAAAAGGGCATTTTAAAAATTATTATTATTATAATTTGTGTTATTATTTTTTTCCGAGGACCCAGCTCCGCTCTCAGCCCGCGGAGCAGCGCGGATCCCCTCGCCTCCCCTTCCCGGGAGCGGCGGAGGCGGCTCGCACCCGGCATTTCCCTTTCCCTGCTTCCACTTCCCCCGGAGCAAATCTCTTCCCGTTGTTGTTAACCTTAATCGCAGGGATAACGGGAAAAAATAGCAGGAAGGGAGCGGGATCCGTGCGGAGGCGGCGGGGGCCGAGCGGGCACCGGGGGCCGAGCGGGCGGCGGGGCCGCTTCTCTCCCGGTCGCACCGCGGCCTCAGCCGCCGCTCGGGGCCGGGGCTCGGCGGAGGGAGGATATTTCGTTCCGGCAGCTCCCGGTCGGCGGCTGTCCCCCTCTTCCCGGCGGGACCGGCCCGCAGGCCTCCCCACGCGTGACCGCCGGGCATCGCCTCTGCACGGTCCGGGGGGGTTGGGGCCGCAGGGTGGGGTGGGTTTGGGTTATTTTTCCTGGTTTTCGTTAAAAACCCTTTGCCGGTGTCACGTCCACCCCCGGGCCCGGTGGCGGGGCAGAGCGGAGCCCGGCTGCGCGGCCCCGGCCCGGCTTTGCCGCAGCCCCGGGAGCGGGAACCGGGAACAGGGAACAGGGAGCAGGGTGCAGGGAACCGGGAGCGGGGAACCAGCTACGGCGGTCAGAACCTACCCCGAACCGGTGGCCCCGTCCTGCCGGCCCCCTCTCACCCCTCCGGGCCCCGCAGAACCGGGGGTGCGGGCCGGGGCCACCAGCCCTCGGCGGCGCCCGTCCTCCGAGGCCTGGATCCCCGCGCGCTCCCCGTTCGGCCTTTTTCGTTTGCTTTATTTTCTTTCCTTTCCCCCCCTTTTTATTCCATTCCTCTCCTTTTACTTCTTCTATTCCTGTGACTTTATTTTTCCCTTTTATTTTATTTTTGCCCCTAACCTGTTTTTCCCCGCTCCGCGCTGGTTCGGTCATTCCGGGGACGGGCACAGGCCGCCGCAGACACGGACACTCGGGTACCACGCCAGCCCGAGGCCTTGAACTCCCAGGCGCTTCCCGCCTCGGCCGAGCTCCTTCCCGGTGCACCGGGCCGGGCTCAGACCCCGGCGGGCCCCCCCACCCCGGGCGGTGCCCGGTGCCGGGCTGCGGGAGCGGCGGGGCACGGGCGGGTGTCGGGGGGGTGCGAATTCTCAGGTGCGCTTGGGTTAACAGTTCATTTATTGCTTTTTAATCCGCCAGTATTGCAACGGTTTCTATCTGAGGGGATCCGGGGGGGTAACGGGGAGGGGGGCGGCCGCCCCCGCCCGCTCCGGGGACGTATCGCCGCCGCTTTTCCGCCGGGTTTTGCCCCGTTGCAGAGAGAGACGGAACGGACCCCCCCGAGGCGGGGGACTGCCCGGGACACCCCTCGGAGTCCGTCAGCCCCAGCTGGACACCGGGAGCCGCCTCCCTCGGTCCCGGTGCCGGTGTGGCCGCCGCTGCCGGGAGCGGCCGTGCCGCTTAACGGGGATTTCGGGGCTGCCCCGCAGCCCCATCCCGGGGAGGCGGTGGCGCAATTGCGGTAGCAGTGGGCTCTCTTTGGACCGCCGAGCTGCGGGGCACCGCGGGGAAGAGGAAACGGAGCCCCCCGAGCCCCCGCCCGGCCCGGGGAGGGGCAGAGCGAAGGGGGGTATTTTTTATTCGTTTACACCTCGGCCGGCCCTTCCCCGGCCCGGGGGGGGGGTCCCCGTGGGCGAGCCCCGCGGGAAGGCGGCACCCCCGCCACGGGAGCCGCGGCCGCCGCCGCTGCCGGGGCCGGAGCCGGGGCCGGGCGGCCGCCGCTGCCGGGGCTCTTTGTTTACCAATCGGTGTCACGGAACGGGAGAGCAGGAAATTGCGTCTGTACCGGGCCGTTAATTTAAAAGCGGCCCTTTCCTCCCCCCCGGCCGCTCCCCGGCGCGGCGGGGGCTCTGCCGCCCGCTCCCCGCTCCCGGCTCCGGCGGCGGCCGGGGATGCGCAGCCGAGCGCGGCGGCGGGGGAGGGCCGGGTCGGAGGAATAAGGACCCGGCTTCTTCCCCGGTCCCACCCCCGGCCGCTTCCTCCGCAGCTCCCTCCCCTCGGCCTCCCCTTCCCCTCCCGCCCCCCACTCCCCCTAAAATCATCCCCCCATCTCCCGGTATTGATTTCCCCGCACGCGAATCCCAGCGCAGCGCGGCGCGCCCGGGCGCTGGCGGCTCCGTTCGCCCGCTCCCGCCGGGACCGGGATCGGGACCGGGACCCGCACCGGGACCGGCGCCCCATGGAAGGGCAGCGGCTGCGGCCGGAGCGCCTGAAGTTTGCCCGGAGCGAGGTGCCGCGGGAGGTGGAGCTGGGGAGGGGGCGCGGGGGGGGGGGGGGGGGGGGCGGGGGGAGGGGGTTGAAGGGGGGGTTTCCCCCCCCCCCCCCCCGCCTAGTCTTGCCTCCTGTCTCCCTCTCCCCGTCTCTCTCTCTCCCTCCTGATGTTTGATCCCGCCGCGGCGCCCGCAGGGATGAGCGATGGAGGGGCCGAGCCCGGCGGGAGCCCCGTGCTGCTGGCCGAGCCCGCGGCCACCGGGCGGGCCCGGGAGAAGGCGCCGACCCGGGCGGAGCTGGAGAGCGCCCTGCGCGGCGGCGGCGGAGGCGGCGGCGGCGGCGGCTTCAAGGACATCCCCGGAACGTCGGCGGTCAGCCCCGGCTCCTCCAAGGAGTGCGCCCCGGACACCGAGAGCCCGTCGGGGACCGGCGAGGCGGATTACTGCCGCCGCATCCTGGTGCGAGGTACGGGCAGGGTCCCCGCTCCCGGCCCCCGCTCCCCGCTTCCCCCTCCGGGAGTTCCCGCTCCGAGGATGGGGAATCCCCGGCACCGCTTCCAGCGCATCCCGGGCGCTGCCCGGCTGCCTGCTCCGATCTCTCGGCCCCGCCGCTTCCCGTGGCTCCGCTCCGTGCGGCACGGACCGGGCCCGCTGCCCCAGCCCTGCTCCGCCGGGAGCGGGCTCCGAGCGGGGCCGTGCGTGCCCGGCGGGGTCCGGGGGAACGGGCGCGGGGTCACGGACCCCCGGGCCGGCTGAGCCCCGCGGGGACGCGCGGGCGGCGGGAGAGGGGGGACAGCATCGCGTTTGAAGCGATGTCGCAGGAGAAAAGCGTCACGGAGCGGCGGCGGGCGAGGGGGGGGTTATTTTTTTTTTTTTTTCCCCTTTATAATATCCCCGGCTCGACCGGGGCTGGGGCACGGCGGGACCCGGAGACGCCGCGTCCCGCATCCCGGATCCCGCCCCGCCGCCCGCGCTCAGTCCCCGCCGGCCCGGGGCTCGCCGGGGCCAGTTTGGCTTGTGGCGAACCCCGAGAAGTTTGGGGCGCCTCGGTGCGGCTGCGGCAGGCGGGCAGGGACCGAGCGCTCCTCGGCTGGGGGCTCCCGCGGCTCCGGGGATGCTCCGCGTCTCCCCCGCTCCCTCCGCCGCTCCCGGAGCCCGGAGCAGCTCGGCGGCCGCCCGGCGATCAGGGCTGAGGCCTCCCGGTCCCCAGCCCAGCGCCCGGGCAGGGCGGCGGGGACCGGAGCCGCGGCCGTGACTTCCCTCCTCACCGCCTCGGGGGCGGCGGGGACCGGAGCCGAGTCCCCGTTCGATCTTCATCCCGGGCCGGGCATCCCGGCAAACGGCCCCGCCGCTCCCCGGAGCCTCTTCCCGGCTGTCGCGATGGGCGCCTTTCGCTGACAGCCCGGCTGCCGCAGCCCGAGCCCTCCGAGCCCTCCCCGGGCACCGCGGCGGGGCAACGGGCAGCGCTCGGGGGCCGAGCCCGGGGGTCCCGCCCGGGGTATCCCCGCGTCCCGGGGGTCGCCGAGCGGGGCCGCCGCCGTTCCCGCCGGGGTCAGGCCGGGGTCAGGCCTCTCCTCCGCCGGTTTCAGTCCTACCGAGGTCCCCCCGACGGTCCCGGGGCTGGGAGCGGGGTGGGGGTCGGTGCCCAGGCCCGGGGCAGGGTCCCCGCTGCCCCCAACCCCGGGGACCCTCACCCGGGAGCGCCCGGTCTCACCATCTTGCTGCAGCCGCCACGGTGCGGACAAAATGGTGGCGGGGAGAATCGCCGCAAATAACCGGGAACGGAGCCGAAATGAAGCGGGGGGGGACGTGGCGGGGGCAGCGGGTGTGCGGGGCCACGGGCCCGCCGTTCCCCGCCCGCCCCCGGCCGGGGTCCCGCAGCCGGGCAGGGTCGGGGCCGAGCACCGGCCAGGCCCGGGCAGAGCTCCAGGTCGGTTTTATGCGAAGCGGGAGGTTAAAATGTTCGGGTTTATATTTTTAAAATGCAGCCTTCAATATTTTTAATTCCGCCCTCGCCGCCTGCCGCGGGGACGGGGCCGCATCGCCCCCCGCCAGCCCCGGCCCCGGTGCGGGGCGGCTGCCGCGGAGCTGCCGCCCACCCCGCTCCGGCCCCGGGGTTCGCCCGCGGTGCCTCCGGTGAGGACGGGGGTCCTGGGCAGCCCCCCGCTTCGGCGGGGCTCTCTCGGGGTCTGGGTCCGCTGCCCGGCACAGCTCGGGACCGGGGACCGGCCGTGCGGGACGGGGCCGCGTCGCCTCCCGGCCATCCCCGTCTCGTCGGGCCGGTGGCTCCCGGCCGCCCGCGGGTGGTTTTTCCCGGGGATAACTGGGAGAAGGGCTCGGCGGCGGAAGGAACCGGGCAGCACCGGGGCCGCTCCCGCTGCCAGCGCTGCAGTCCCGGGGGTGGCTGGGCGGGGTGGGGGGCACATCCAGGGGTGCTCCCCCCCTTCCTCCCGGTCACCTCCCGGGGCTGCCCCGGGGCTGGGCCCGGGGGTCGCAGAGCACATGGAGGGACCCCGGTGGCGTTTGGGATGCACTGAGAAGGGCTGCGGGTTTCTGTGCCCCTCAGCGTGTCCCGAGGTGCCACCAGGGCCACCCCATGGCACGGACAGGGACTGGGGAGACGTGTTGGGGAGCTGACAGGGTGAGTGGGAGCCCCAAAATGCCCTGGCAGCTGCGTCGATGCAGAAACCCTCATGCACAGCAGGGTGTGTGGGATGTCCCTGTGCCAGGGAGAGGTGTCCCTGTGGATATGGGGGTGTGTGGCATGTCCCTGTGCCAGGCAGAAGTGTCCCTGTGGACATGGGTGTGTCTGGGGTGTCTCTGTGCCAGGGAGAGGTGTGCCCTGTGCCCACGGGTGTCCTGGGCTCTTTTGGGGGATTTCAGCCCCAGGCCTTGTCCCGGACCCGCTGCCATCAGGTGTATCCCGGTCCCCAAGAGCAGGACGTGCCACCAGGGCCCCGCTGGCGAGGCTGGGGGCTGTGGGCACCCCCCGGGCAGCCACGGCAGGACCTGGCGGGTTTTGGGGGTCCGGGATCCGGCAGCTGATGGGGGAAGGCTCTCCAGAGGGGATCCCACAGGCAGGGTGGTGCTGTGCCCTTCCTGGCACGGGGGGACGGATGTGGGCCCCCAAAACCCGCGGCAGGGAAGGTCTGCGGCGCCCAGCAGGTTTTGGGGGCGAGGCTTTTGGGGGGCGAGGGTTTTGGGGACGAGGGGTTTTGGGGGCGAGGGGTTTGCCTCTCCTCTGCCGAGCTGGCACCGTGGGCCGTGCCCCTTCCCTCCCTTCCCCCTCGGTGCCGCTCCCCCACCCGCGGCCCAGCTGCCGGGGGGGGATAACAATAAATAATGCCCGAGCGATGCCGGCGCGCCGAGGGCGGAGGGCAGAGCTGCAGCTGCGGCTCTGAGCCACCAGCCCCGGCTGTTGTTGTGCCGTGGCCCCCGGCGTGGGCACGGGCATGGGCACGGGCGTGCGGACGTGGCCTGGGCATCGTCTCCGCCGTCGCTCTCCCCTCACAAAATGGTTCCCGGGCCGGCGTCCCGATCCCGCCGGAAAAGCCGCCGATCCGCCCACGACCCGTTTCCTTTCCCGGGGCCCTGTGCCCACCCGTGGGGTGTGGGGTGTGGATCTTGTCCCACCAGACCCTCTCCCACCCTGGTTGTCCCCAGGCCCCGGTGATTCCTTCGGTGTCACGGTCCTGCCTGGAGCCAGCGCGGCCCTGCCGGGATGGCACCTCTGCCATGTGGTGGGAAACCGGCTTCGGGAGTGGGGTCCCTCTCCCACAACTCCCAAATCTGTGCCTGCTCCCTACTCCCGCCATCCCCATGCCAGATCCACCAACCCCTCACCAGTTCCTTTGCCCTCATCCCAGCTCCACCATTCCCATCCCAGCTCTGCCATCCCCACCCCAGCTCTGCCATCCCCATCCCAGCTCTGCCATCCCCATCCCAGCTCCACCATCGCCATCCCAGCTCCACCATTCCCATCCCAGCTCTACCGTCCCCACCCCAGCTCTTCCATCCCCATCCCAGCTCCGTCCCCATCCCAGCTCCACCATCCCCACTCGAGCTCTACCATCCCCATCCCGTCTCCGTCACCCCTTCCCGGGCTTCTCCCGGCTATTTTCCCCCTCCCTACCCCAGCACTTTTCTAATCCCTTCCCGTCTGAGTCAGCCGGAGGGAGGGAGAGCCGGTGACCTCCAGCCAGGGCTGCTGGGGACCCTCCGGCCTTGGGAACCAGCACCCCAAAATCAGGGCCTGGCACAGGGCTGCTTCCCTGGAGTGGCTTTTAACCCTCTGGAAAAGCCCCGGGGCAGAATCAGGGAGCTCTGTGGTCAGGGCTCACCCAAACCAGTTTGCCGCTGGTGTTACTGGAGCTCGGGGAGGGTCAGCATGAGAGGTTTGGGGTCTGGCAGGACCCAGTGGGTGATTTCCAAGGCTCCTTTTAATTCCTGGAGCACCACCAGTTCCACGGCACAGCCCAGGGAGTTGGGACAGGCTCCTGGCCCTCGGGGCTCCGTGGGTTTTTTGGGAGAGCTGGTCCTTTGCCAGAGGGAAGCAAAGCCACGGCGGCTCCTTCGGAGTGGCCACGAGCCACGTCCCAGGTGCCGACGTGGGAGTTAAACCCTCCGGCTTTGGTTTCCCTGGATAGTCTCAGCCTTTCCCAACCTCGTAAAATTCGCTGCTGGAGCAGCTCAGGGCCACAGCACTGCCCAAACCGGCCCTTTAATAGCAAAACTGCCCCAAAATGGGAGCTGCTGCTTTCCCAGGAAATATTCCTCCAGCGAGAATAATTCTGGACAGAAGGGAATTGTGATAGAGGCAAATTTTTTCCATTATTCCCAAGGAAGGACAAAAAAAAATAACATATATTTTTAATTAAACAAACCTTTCATTCTAATTCTTCCTTGGTATAAATCTGCTTTTTGCTCCTGGCTTTCCCAACTGTTATTTCCGGAATGAAACGTTCTGTTTTCCTGAAAAACTTTATGGTTTCTATTTATGTCTTAAAAAACCCATAATTTATGGAGATTTGTTGTCGCTCCCCCGGATATTTATAAACTTACAGCGTTCGGTGCCAGAGGGGAGAACCAAACTATGGGATGGTGCCTGTTCAGCTCCAGCTTGTGGGATTTTCATGGATATTCTGCATCCAGCCCTGACACTCGGGGCAGCACCAGCCTGGTGATGCAGGGCTGGTGGTGCAGCCGGTCTTTAATTCGATTTAATTAACTTTTTCTGCCCCAACAACTGGGTTTTTTGGACCAGTCCCTGGAGATTTTTTTCCTGATGGCTTTTCCCTCTTCCCCCCCCCCTACCCCCGCAGATGCCAAAGGGACCATCCGGGAGATCGTGCTGCCCAAGGGGCTGGACTTGGACCGGCCCAAGCGGACCCGGACGTCCTTCACGGCGGAGCAGCTCTACCGCCTGGAGCTGGAATTCCAGCGCTGCCAGTACGTGGTGGGCAGGGAGAGGACGGAGTTAGCGCGGCAGCTCAACCTCTCCGAGACCCAGGTGAGGCTCGGGGGCTCCCCCGGTGGCCGCGGTCCCAAACCCCGGAGCGGGGGGAGAGGGGCCGGCCGGAGTCCGGGGGAAGGATGGGGGGACCCTGCGCTGCTCCGGGGGGACGGTTCTCCCCCACCCCTTTCTCCCGAGCCCGTTGGTTTAGGGCTGGGGGGGGTCTGTAGGGACCCCCCGACAGGCAGCAACCCCTCGGAGGGTCCGGCAAAGGGTCAAGGCCAGGCTGGACGGGGCTCGGATCCGCCCGGGCCGGTGGAACGTGCGGGGTTTAGGGGCCCTTCCAGCCCAAACCATTCCATGATCCTACAAAAGCTGGAAAGAGGAAAGAGCAGGAGTGTGCCAGTGGGGAGCCAAGGTCCTCAGGCAGCACCCACGGTGGGGTGGGATGTGGTGGGTGCCATGGGGGTCGGGCCGTGTCCGAGCCGGGGGATCCCGCATGGACCCTGCACCCGCCGCTCCCCAATCCCAGCAGGATGGGGACCCACTGGGGATTCTCCCTGTGGAACAGCGGCCCGGCTTGTCTTCTCCAACACCTCCCCGTGCAGGTCTTTGGCCATGGGGAGGGATGTTCCTGGTTTTCCCCCGCTGTGGTGTGGGGATATCCGGGCGGGCGGAGCGGGAGAGGCTGTGCCATGTGCCTGGGTTGGTGCAGCTGCTGGGGCTGGGATGGTTTGGGCTTAGAAATTTATGACACAATAGTAATAATAATTAATAACTTAAATTAAAATATAATAATAACAACAACAACAGTGCAGTGCAGAACAGCCAGGGCTGCCCCTTCCCTGCCCCGTCCGGCGCAGCGGGAGACGGTGACACAGTTCCATCGATTCACACGGGCAACAATTCCAATTTTTCCAACCCTATTGTGGAACAGCCCCGTCCTGGGTGTCGGCAGCCGAGCCCCTGCCTCCAGGCTCCCCTTGTTTTCCAAGGGGGCTGATTTTGGGGGGATTGTGCCGCTGTGTGGTGTATTGGCACTGGGTGTGTGGTGTTTTGGCACTGGGTGTGAGGTGTTTTGGCACTGGGGGTGAGGTGTTTTGGCACAGGGTGTGTGGTGTTCTGGCACAGGGTGTGAGGTGTTTTGGCACTGGGTGTGAGGTGTTTTGGCACTGGGTGTGAGGTGTTTTGGCACTGAGTGTGAGGTGTTTTGGCACTGGCTGTGAGGTGCTTTGGCACTGGCTCTGTGGTGTTTTGGCACTGGCTGTGAGGTGTTTTGGCACTCACTCTGTTTTGGCACTGGCTCTGTGGTGTTTTGGCACTGGCTGTATGAGGGGGAGCCGACCTGTGGTGAGCAAAAATAATTCTTGGGGGTTTTTTTGTGGCAGAACGGGTGGGTTTTGGTAAGGAAGAGGCTTTGGTGAGGGAGGATTTTTTTGGTGGCTGTGCCATGGTTAGGAGCAGAGTGTCCCTGCTTCCTGGGATCCGTCATCCCGGGGTCCCAGTGTCACCTCCATGGAGCTGGGAGTGGCACGGGTGGGCTTGGCTGCACCAAGGGAGCTGGTTAGGGGTCCCTCTTCCTGGAGTCCCTCTTCCTGGGGTCCCTCTTCCCAGGATCCCTCTTCCCAGGCTCCCAGTGTCACCTCCGTGGAGCAGGGAGGGTCATGGGTGGGCTTGGCCATGCCACACTGCGGGAAGAGCTTTGTCTCCCTGGCATGGGCAGCATCTTCTCAGGGTCCCTTTTATCGAGGTCCATCTCCCAGGGCCCCATTGTGACCTCCATGGAGCTGGGAAAGGCTGTGGAAGGCGGGAACAAAGCTTCCCAGTGAGCTGGGCGCTGCAGAAGGGCCCCTCTTCCCGGGGTCCCTCTTCCCAAGGTCCCAGTGTCACCTCCACAGAGCCAGGAATGCCAAGGGTGGACTTGGTCGTGCCATGAGGGGAAAAGCTTTGTGTCCCAGCGTGGGCAGCCAGAGTGGGATCCCTCTTCCCAGGAGGTCCCTCTTCCCAGGATCCCTCTTCCCGAGGTCCCTCTTCCCAGGATCCCTCTTCCCGAGGTCCCTCTTCCCAGGATCCCTCTTTCTGGCATCCCGGTGTCACCTCCACGGAGCTGGGAGTGGCCCAGGTGGGTCTGGCCGTGCCATGCCAGGGAAAGGGCTTTGTCTCCCTGGCACGGGCAGCCAGTGTGGGGTCCCTCTTCCTGGGGCCACCCTTGCCAGGGTCCCAGTGCCAGCTCCACGGACACGGGTGGGCTTGGCTGTGCCACCAGGGGGGAAGAGCTTTGTCCCCGTGCTGTGTGGGGACAAGGGACACGGGCAGGGGACCGGCTGCCACAGCCCGGGGCTGGGAGGGCACAGCCTCTCCACAGGGACTGGATTCCCCTCCTTTCCCGCTGTTTGGTGCCTCATTCCTCCCCTTCATCCCCCGGTGAGAAAATCCCCCCCCCTCCCCGCGGGCCGGCGCTGCCTCCTCCCCTCCCTCCTTCCCGCACCCTCTTTTCTCCTTCAGCTCTGTCTTTTTTAATCCCTTTCTGTGCTTTTCACACCATTTCCTCCCCTGCAGCAAGTTCCCGGTTGTACCTTCCCGGCTCCCCCCCGGCTGCCGGTCCCTCCCCAGCCGCTGCCATCCGCAGGGATCATCATTCCAGGCTCCCTGCCCGGCTCCCTCCCCTCTCCCTCAGTGGGGTGCAGCCCCCCGGGGATGGGTTCAGGCTCTCTGCACGCTCAGGTGCCTCCAGCCCCAGTCCCTCGCTGTTCCTGGCTGGCAGGTTTCCCCAGGCATTCCAAGAGCCGGGTGATCAAGTTTTCCAAGCCCCCTGGGGTCTGGAGGGCGCTGGTCCCACCTGGATGTGGGACCTGGAGAGGGACAGTCACCACCAACCCCTCCTGTCCCACCCAGCTCACCCACCCAGCAGCTCAGACAGGGATATATTCAACTTTTGCAGCAATCCGAGTGTTTTGGGTACTTCCAGTGATTTCCCTCCCGGCTCCCAGGATTTAGGGCCACTCATGATTTAATGGCTTAATTAATTGATCGGGTGTTTTGGTGGAGGGTCTCAACCAGCAGCATCTCGTGGCTGTTTTTTGGCTGTCACTGGATGTTGGCACAGCAGGACGGATCCTTTCCAGCCCCTCGCTGGGTCATATTTTAATTCCAAGATCAGGAACCTGCTCCTGGTTCCTCTCTGTGCCCTGGATGCGACGGGAACCCGCCGTGTCCCACCACGGGAGGGACCAAGGCAGGGGCCCCCGGGGATGGGGGGGTTTTGTGCCTGGGAATGTTTGGGGGGCACAGGATGACTCATCCCCGCGAGGAGGGAGCGCTGCACACCCTGTGATGAGATGGGAAGAGACACGGTGGCAGCGCAGCTGGAGAGAGCGGCAGCCCAGCGTTCCCGGCAGCACCCGCAGCCACCCGGCCAGGGGGGGGAAAGGGGCTGGTTTGGGCTCCCACTTCACTGCCCCGGCACCTGAGCCCGCTGCTCGGCAGAGCTGGGGGCGGGAGGATCTCGCTGCCCGCGCAGGGGAGACGGGACGGGTGGGGAAGGAGGCGATTCCGGCTTTTTTGGGTCTGGATCCAACCCCGGGGTGAGGGGATCATCCAGGGAGAGGGGGATCGCTCAGAGGAGAGGGGAGGATCAGCCAGAGGAGAGGGGAGGATCAGCCAGGGGAGAGGGGAGGATCAGCCGGGGAGAGAGGGGGATCACCCACAGGAGAGGGGAGGATCAGCCAGGGGAGAGGGGGGGATCAGCCAGGGGAGAGGGGAGGATCAGCCAGGTCTCCCAGAAGTGAAAGGGGATCATCCAGGGAGAGGGGGATCGCTCAGAGGAGAGGGAGGATCAGCCAGGGGAGAGGGGGAGTCACCCAAGGGAGACAGAAATCACCCAGAGGAGAGGGGAGAATCATCCAGGGAGAGGGGGATCAGTCAGGGGAGAGGGGAGGATCAGCCAGGGGAGAGGGGGATCAGTCAGGGGAGAGGGGAGGATCAGCCAGAGGAGACAGGAATCACCCAGAAGTGAAGGGAGATCATCCAGGGAGAGGGGGATCACTCAGAGGAGAGGGGGTCACCCAGGGGAGAGGGGAGGATCATCCAGGGAGAAGGGGGATCACTCCAAGGAGAGGGGAGGATCATCCAGGGAGAGGGGATCACCCAGGGGAGAGGGGAGGATCAGCCAGGGGAGAGGGAGGGAATTTTGGAGCCACTCGTGCTCAGGCCAGGATGCTTCTACCTTCCCAGGGAATCCACCTCCTCCCTCCAGGGATCCCTGTACCTGTTCTCCCCACGCCCTCTGTGCTTTTCCTAATTAATCCCTGGCCGTGATTAGCGTTAAATGGGTTTAATTAACCCGGAGAATGTTTTCACTGGGGGAATATTTTCCTGGAGACGTGGAGCTGCCGGTGGCTGCATCCTGGGAGAGCCCTCAGGCCCCTGGGATGAGCCGGTGGGGGGCTGCCCCAGCCCATCCCAAATCCAGAGAGCAGCCGTGTCCGTGTGTCCGTGTGTCCGTGTGTCCGTGCGTCCGGCTTTCTCCGGGAGGCTCGACCCGAGTCCTCGGGGGAAAAGTGCCCCTCCTTAGTGTCATTAAGGGATAGAAAGCGCCAGGCAGGGCAGGCAGAAGGACCCCGGGGGGATGGCAGAGGGGGATAATTCCCACAAATCCCCTGTCAGGAGGGGATGGGATGGACTGGCTGAGGGGATTTGCTCTCTGGGTCAGGAGTTCAATGCCAGGCTCAGGTTCAAGTGACCCGGGGTGTTTTCCCAGCTCTCCCCGCCCTCCTCGGAGCGGGGACGGGGCTGGGACACCTCAGACAGGGGCCTGAGCCTTGTCCCTGTGCCAGGAGACGGCTCCTCCCTCCCCAAGGGATGCAGCCTGGGGCCAGGAGCTCTGCTGGGAACTCCTGGGAGACACTGGGATGGGGCACAGAGCGTGGAGAGCTCAGTGAGGCACTGCCAGGAAAGGTTCAGGTTGGATACTGGGGAAAATTCCTTCCTGGGAAGGGCTGTCCAGCCCTGGCACAGCTGCCCGGGGCAGCGCTGGGGTCCCCATCCCTGGAGGGATTTAAAATCTGTGTGGATGTGGCA